AGCTGGAGCACCCTTCACCGGCTGCCTCTCTCGTTTTGCCCTCTCGTACTCGATCCTTGGTAGATTTGAAGGCAGATTAGAAATTGAAAAAGTACTTAATTTTTACTTACCAGTCGCTCTGTTCACTACCTCTTGAAGAGGCCTCCGTGGCGCTTCTCCAGCGCCGCTGTCTCGCCTTCAGCTCGGCGGCAAAGTCGGCCGCGTAGAGGAAGCCAATCTTGGCGCTGGTCATCGACTTTACTGTTGAGTTTTCGGTCTTTGAGGACACCTCGATCACCTCAAACTGATCATCACTCTCTGGTGGTAGTAGCTTTGTTGGCGTTGACTCTTTCTTCCAGTCACTCCTACTGCCGTCTTCGGCCTTCTTCAGCTTCACCTCGTGCTCCACCAGGTGCTGCATCACCCGCGCCAGTTTGTTTTCATTGGAAGTCTCATTAGGCCGCTCCACCCGTTCGTACTGTCCGTGGAAGCGAGGCACGTTCTGCGAGTCGAGGCGCACCTGACCGAACCAGGTTCGGCGAAGTTTTCCCTTTGAATCGCTCTTAGCTGGCTCTAAAAGAGGCTCGTACTTGGCGCGCACCGCCGCCGTCGATTGCTTTCTCCCTGCTGCCTCGTAGCAGTACTCGCCGTGGACGATGGTGGCCGCCGTCTCGCCTAGGTCCTCGCCGATGCCCAGGTAGTCGCCGGCGGCCGCCTCCTCCAGGGGGACGCTGCTCCGCCGGGACAGCTCTTGAAGCAGCTCTTCAGATGACTGCTGATGCTGATGCTGTCGTCGGCCGACTTGAGCGGCGCCTCGAGCCAGGTACCGCTTGGAGATGGTAGAGGTGGTGACTTCATTTGCTGCCAGTCCCTGGTGAAATATCTGTTGCAGCAGCAGCACTGGTATTTGCTTAGGGGTTCCGCGAAGCATGATGATCTTCGGGGACTTTTTTTGCTGGGAAAATGATGATGATCACCCACGTTTTTCAGGCGCAAATCAAAACAAGCGCTGTTTCCACCTAGCTGGCCGAAAGGTGCCTGAATGGAAATAGAATCGGAAAAGGATTTTTCGGGTTTTGAATTCGTAATTTTCTCTTTCTTTCTTTCGGTAATACAGTTTATACAGCTTTTATAATACAGGCAGAAATGGATCAGTGAGTATAATCTTGGTAATGGTGGGAAAGCAGCAGGGCACTTCATTAGCCGTACTGAGCGCAGCACTCCTCAACAAAGGCCTCAATGGCGGCCATCTTCTCCTCGTCCTTGCCGTACCGCGCCACCACCTTCGTCTCGTAGAGGTACTCGACAATCTCGGCCAGCGTCTTGCCCTCCCGTTCGGGCACCAGCGAGTAGGCGTTCGCCCACGAGCGAAGGAGAATGTTGAAGCACTCGCTGCAGATAAGGGGTGGAAAAGGTTAGAAAAGGTTGTTATACTAAAAGCAAAATCGGTTAGATCCAAACTGACATGGAGAACTGCTCCTTGATAAAGTCCCAGTCGATGAGCGCCTCGTCGGACCAGGCGCACCGCCGGACCAGCGCCACGAGGCGCGCCATATCGAAGCGGTCGTCCCACCGCTCAATGTCCACCCTGTTCTGCACCAGCAGGAAGACCGACTTGCTGAAGAAGCGCTGCCGACACTGCACATCAGAGCGGCCCATGGTGGCCGCCACGCGGACCCAGGGAATGGCGTCGTAGGAGGTCAGCCGCAGCTCCTTCATCACCTTCTGCACGTTGTCCCGCAGCGCCGCCAGCTCCTCGTTCGACCAGCGGCCGTGCTTCACCGCCGCGCCATTTGCCTTCTCGCTATTTCGAACCAGCTCCCGAGCGTGCCGGGGATTGAAGCCGTGCCGTTCGCACCACACCGCGTACTGCTCGCCGTGGACGCGGCGGAGGTTGAGGATGGTGGCCCGGTCCGCCTCGCTGAAGTCCGCCCCCGTCTTCAGGCCGCTCAGAGTGGCCCGCGCCCGCTGGTAGATCTGCGCCAGCGTCCGATTCGGGAGGTGCTTTGCCAGGCGAAGGAAGAGCTTCGTCCGCGCGGCGAACGCCCGGTAGTAGTCCTTGACGGCGCCATTTGCCTTTCGGTTCCGACAGAAGACGCCGAACATCAGGCGCGGATTGGGCACGATGTAGTCCTTCAGGTAGCGCGCCCAGCTCCGCCGCAGCATGGCGTTTTCCACCTTCGTGAAGCGACCTCGGTTGACGCTGAGGCCGTGCTGCTCGAGGATGGCCCGCTCCTCGTCGGGCTTTAGGTTGAAAAGTCGAGGAAGGACCTGGTGCAGAAGGTGGCTCGAAGCGTGGCGGTCCAGGTCGAGCGCCTTGTGGGGCTTTCGCTGGCGAGGCNGTTTTCCACCTTCGTGAAGCGACCTCGGTTGACGCTGAGGCCGTGCTGCTCGAGGATGGCCCGCTCCTCGTCGGGCTTTAGGTTGAAAAGTCGAGGCAGGACCTGGTGCAGAAGGTGGCTCGACGCGTGGCGGTCCAGGTCGAGCGCCTTGTGGGGCTTTCGCTGGCGAGGCAGCTCGTCGATGTCATCCTCAATGGCGGTGGTCGTCTCTGGTTCCTCTTCCTGGTGATCAGCCTCTTCTTCTTCTTCTTCGCCCATCACCTCTTCATCTTCGTCATTGGAGTCCATTTCTTTACCTTTTGGAAGTTCAAGTTGGCAAGAAACAGTGTCATGTGCTTCGCAGCAAGCAATCAAAACAAATTGCAGCGGCACGTTCATAGAAAACGTTTCAAGGATTGATTTTCCTTTTGGAAACTCCTAAAGTGCTCAAATTGATCCAAGATACTGCTCTTTAGCAGGGCAATTTAATAACAATTTGACTCAAGGGAATGAAAGAGAGAATAGGAGAAAATAAATAGTTTTTGTTCACATGAAGCAACAGCAATAAAATCAAAGTAATTCTTTGAAAAAACGCTGAAAGCGAAAACACTGCACAAAATCANCCTTTTGGAAGTTCAAGTTGGCAAGAAACAGTGTCATGTGCTTCGCAGCAGGCAGTCAAAACAAATTGCAGCGGCACGTTCATAGAAAACGTTTCAAGGATTGATTTTCCTTTTGGGAACTCTCAAATTGATCCAAGAATCTGCACTAAAGCAGGCAATTTAATAACAATTTAACTTAAGAGAATGAAAAAGAGAATATGAGAAAAAGAAGCGCTGAGTGAAAGTGAACACAAGCATACGTAGTCCAGACTGACTTTATTGGCAAAGAGTAGCTGCTTATATACACAAACAGGCGACGTAACTTCGAACTCTCAAAGCCACGTCGCTAGCGGCCTATGGGCCGCTACTCCTCCCTGCCAGTCTTCGACGCATCTTAGTAGTTTTTGTTCACATGAAGCAACAGCAATAAAATCAAAGTAATTCTTTGAACCAGCGCTCAAAGCGAAAACACTGCACAAAATCAGCAAACTCCTCGAGTGTTTACCAGAACTTGGCCTTCTTCTGGCCGATGATCACCTGGTTGCCCTGGCCGGAGAGCATCGCCATCTGGGCCATGTTTGGCGCTACGCCCGGTGGTGGTGGCTGGGAAATTAGAAAGGATGTTAGAGAATCCTAGACAACAAAGCGNAGCACAAACTGCTCAAGTGTTTACCAGAACTTGGCCTTCTTCTGGCCGATAATCACCTGGTTGCCCTGGCCGGAGAGCATCGCCATCTGGGCCATGTTTGGTGCTACGCCCGGTGGTGGTGGCTGGGAAAAGGGAAAAAATGTTAGAGAATCCTAGACAACCAAAGATAGAACTTACTGGAACGGAGGCCCGGGCAACGCCGTCGAAGCGAGCCGATGCATCAAATCCGTCGGGCATTACGACGGCCATGTTTGGCGGCAGCTGCTGCACCATCATCTGGTACTGGTAGGGCTGGTAGGGATTGTACCCGCCCGGGTAGGCGTACACTTGCTGGCCGGGAAACATTGGCATGTACTGCAGATGCTGCTGCTGCTGTGAAAACTGATACGGGGGCGGTGGCTGATTTGGATTCATTGGCGGCGGGGGCGGATTCGCTTGCAGCTGCTCCTTTGATGGATCACCGTATGGCGGTGGAATCTGCGGGTAAAGTGGACCTCCCGGGTATTGCTGCTGCTGCTGCTGCTGCATCGGAACTGAACCGTAGAAATTGGGAAACTGTTGCTGTTGCTGCATTGGAAATTGACTGTACGGCGGCGGTGGTGGTAGCTGCTGCTGCTGTCCAGAGGCGTTGTTGATTCCACCAGCTGAAGAAGTGGGTGGCTGCGGCGGAGCAGCACCGAGGTTAGATTGATCTGCAAATATGAAGAAATTGATTAGAAAGTGAACTCAAGGTCGCTTCTGAAAGATGCTAAAACTCACCCTTTTCGTTGGACATGTTTACAGCTTTGTGCACTGACTTGAGATCAGGCTGCTGCTGCTGCTGAAGACCAGGATTTGCTGAGAAACTGCTGCTGCTGTTCTTGATGGTTTATGGCGGTGAGTAAGCGTAAGGCGCACTTTGACAAGCGCATACACACAACAACACATTAGCCAAAGAGGAGCAGAGAGAGAGAGAGAGAGAGAGAGGAAAAGTTGGGAATAGCTGTTGTACAAAGCACTCTGCAGAGACAGACGTCATAAACGCAGACAGTGTACAGGTACTACCACTGTACGGCTGCTTTTCTATATCATTGACTGGAACCGGTGGTGGTGAGTCAGCGGGACATTAAAATTCCGAGGTCGTGGTGAGATCGCCTTCTTCAACCAGTAGCAGAGAAAAAGAACAACAGCTGTTCTGTTCTGTGTTGTGGAACNTGAGTCAGCGGGACATTAAAATTCCGAGGTTACGATGAGATCGCCTTCTTCAATCAGTAGCAGTGAAAAATAACAACAGCTCTTCTGTTCTGTGTTGTGGATCAGAGCAGCTTTCCTGCCTGCTCACTTTTGTGCACAGATCAGTGACGCAATGCACTTCAAAATTTGAAATTGAAAGCGCTAATCAGAATCGTTCATTGAGACTTTTATTATTGACTGAGTTTATCACTGTACAGTGGGCAATGGTCATGCCTGTTTGTCTCTGTTACTCCCACAAATCGAGCGGCACCTTCTCCAGGATTAACTGCAAAAAATAAAAAATTCAGAGTTATTCAATGCACTCAGAAAAGAAAAACAAATCTTTTTCACTTACCTCTACCAACATTTTTCGGTATTTTTCATCATCTTCAGCAGCAGAAGAGGAAGTAGAAGTGCTCGAATTACCGCCATTTTCCAGCCTACTAAAGACCTCCTTCGCCCGTTGCATGCTCGCCATATTGCGCACCTTCTGATTGGGAATGCGAATGTTCTCCCTTCGAAGCACCAGCTCCAGCTCCACCTCGGAGAAGATCGAAATGGGGTCGATGCAGTGCTGGTAGATCAACGTGCCCAGGTACTCCTTGTAGTGCAGTCTACGAATCGGGAAATTGGTTAGGTAGGGAAAAGATCTCCTCAAAAGGACGTACTTGCAGAGCCCGGCGGACTCTACGAATCGATTGCACGGCTCATCCTTCATGCCGCTGTCCGTCTCCTTCTGCTCCATCACCGCACACCGAGTCACCGTCTGGTCGCCCTCCAGCTCAGTCCGGTACGGCACCTGGTGCTCCTAGGGAATAAATGGTGATTAGCAGTGTTTATGGAAAAATTCACCTTGGAAGTGCCTTACATCGAGCAGCGCCTTCAGGTCGGCAATCTCCTTGTCTCGCAGGTAGAAGAGACAGTTTCGGGGGTGGTGGGCGTGCAGGCCCAGGGCGGCGCACATTCGTGCTCGGAAACATCGCTGATAAATGAAAAAAAAATGTTGAGATTTGATAAGAAACTGGACCCTAGTGTTTGATTACATTGCCCAGCTTGAAGGGCCTCGAGCAGCCGCCGCAAAAGTCGTAGCCGCACTGCAGACAGCGAAAGTGCATGCAGCCGCCCTTTGCCAGCTGGTACCGGAACTTGCAGTTCGGACACTCTGAAAAAGGAAACAACATTAGATCATCAGAGCTAAAACTACAAAAGCACTTACCAATGCCAAACTCCTTGAGGTGCTTGTTGAGCTGCTGCTCGGCAAAGCTCGGATCATTGTCCACCTCCCACTGGGCGTAGGCGGCACAGCTGATGTTGAAGTGCTGCTTCTTCCACTATTCCAAAAACCATTCAGGTGATCATTCCAAATTACAAAATTCACTCTCACTTTCCACTTACCGGCCGCTTACACTTCTGACAGGTGAGCTGCCGACAGTCAGGGCACATCACCGTCAGCGCCAGCGGATTGGGCGTGATGAAGCCGGAAGAGCACTGCGTGCACCAGAGAAAGTTCGGGTCGCGCATCAGCGCCCGATCTCTCAGCTTGTGCTGCCACAGCTCGTACACCTCCGGCTCGACCAGGTGGCGGAGCATCGGGTCAAAGAGGCCCAGGTACTCGAAGACCAGCTCGTCCTCGTCGGCGCCAATGGCTGGCTGCTCGCAGAAGGGACAGGTAATGACCAGGCGCTGGCGCTCGCGAATCTGCACCGTAAAGTAGGCCTTCAGGCAGTCGCGACAGGCGGTGTGCGTGCAGCTGATCATCGAGACGATGTCTAGTGGGAGAAAAAGAGAAAGCTTTAGGAACTTTTGTAATTTACTAAAGTTATCAGTTTACCCTGAACTGGCACCGTGGCCGTGCACAGCTCGCACTCAAACTCAGTGCGCGCCCACTCAAAGTCGACGTCGTCCTCGAGAGGCCGTGACCAGCGGCGAATGTCCACTGGTGGGTACTCCACCGCCTCCTCTTCCTCTTCCTCCTCTTCAGGTGGAGTTATCTGGATGGAGGTTAAGTCCAGTACCTGCTGCTGCTGCTGCTGCTCAAAAGTGGCAATTCTGGCTGACTCTTGCTGTTGTTGTTGTTGTTCAATCTGTCTGGGAAGAGGAATGGCCACTGGAGAAGAGGTGCTCTGTGGAAGGAGGTTTCTNCTGCTCAAAAGTGGCAATTCTGGCTGACTCTTGCTGTTGTTGTTGTTGTTGTTGAATCTGTCTGGAAAGAGGAATGGCCACTGGAGAAGAGGTGCTCTGTGGAAGGAGGTTTCTGTTGTCTGGAAGTGCCTCACTCAATGCCAGGCTCACTGAAGTGCAGACTCCCGGAGTGGACAGGTGCTGCGCTACAAGGGCCACTGGACTCGGTGCTCGCTTTGAGGGTGGTGATGAGGGGAAAGTTGTGCTTGCTGCTGAAGTAGAAGCTGAAGAAGAATTTGGAGCAACAGCAGCAGCTCTTGAGGGAAGCGGCCCCGTGAAGAGGTCAGCATCGGGCGTCGTCGAGGCGTCACTCAGCAGAGCAACTGCTGCTGCTGCAGCACTGGGCAACTCCTCCGCCGCCGTCTCATCATCATCGCCATCATTATCCACATCATCATCCTCAATGCCGGCCAGCTTTGCCCGCAGCTCTGCCGTGTCCGCCGCCCTGAAGACCTGCTCCACCTCTCGGTCCAGCTCCTCCTCGGTGGTGGTCCCGTCTGAGAGGTATCCACTCCCACCACGCCCGCCGCCAATTCTGCGGTGCAGGTCAATCATCTTGGCCATCTGCCGACGTTCCTTCTCCGCCCAGCGCAGCTGCTCTCGTTCCGCGTCGAGCATCGCCTTCTCGTAGCGCCAGCTGCCAATCAGCGCCTCCATCTGATGATGGTCAAAGGAGCTCGACTGGTTACCAGAAACAGTTGAAGCAGTTGCTACTGTTGTTGAAGTTGATGATGATGATGGTGATGCTGATGATGAGGGATCAGCGAGACTTAGCTTGCGAATGTAAAAGTCTAGCAGCTCACTCGAGGACTTAGGCTGCTGCTGCTGATGCTGAGAAGAGCTTTTTAGATGATTTCGAAGCTGTTGCTGCCTTGGATCAGCTGCCCTCTGAAAGTAGAGATAGTCCTGGTCCATTGAGTTCTCTACCTCTTCCTCGGCGACGTCAGTTTGAGTGCTGCTGATGCTGCTGCTGCGTCGGCGAAGAAGGTCGTTGTCGTTTTCAGTAGAGATTACCTCATTTTTGATGCAGTGTTGTTCTTGGGGTTGTTGTGGTTGTTGTTGTGGCTGAATTTGTGGTTGCTGTTGCTGTGGTTGTTGCAGTTTTTGTTGTTGCTGTTGTTTGGGTTTCTCAGGCTCAGTTTGTGCTGCTGCTGCTGCAGTTGTTGTTGTTGTTTTAGGCACTTCAGCAATTTTAGAGTCGTTGGTTGTAGAGTTTGAAACCGGTGTGGTAGGCACTGGTTTTTGCTGCTGCTGCTGTTGTTGTGGCACCGTTGAAGATGAACTTATCGTTGATGGCAGCNTTGTTCTTGGGGTTGTTGTGGTTGTTGTTGTGGCTGAATTTGTGGTTGCTGTTGCTGTGGTTGTTGCAGTTTTTGTTGTTGCTGTTGTTTGGGTTTCTCAGGCTCAGTTTGTGCAGCTGCTGTTGATGTTGCTGTTTTAGGCACTTCAGCAACTTTAGAGTTGTTGTTTGTAGAGTTTGAAACCGGTGTGGTGGGCACTGGTTTTTGCTGCTGCTGC